TTGCTCAAGGGCACGATACTGCTAGGTTGCCCAGGCAGAGGCGGGTGAATTTTCCTACGGAATTCACATCCATAGCCAAAGGCAGCGCGGCGGTGTGAAAACCGTAATTTATATGGGTCAATGTCCAATTCATCGAATCATGTGTCCATTAGACGGGGTCAAACGTAGAAAGTGTTCAATACACCGCGATACACCATCGAGTCTGGTGACCACTACCATGACCAAAGCGTGCTTGATTCGTACGCCTCTTTTTTTGGAATTAGGGTTTTTAGCCAACTGTCTTGGGTGAACTGCGAGTGGTTCATCAACCCGGATGTCGGCTTTTCGTCCTCTCACTTTGGTGCGAAAACACCACGAGAAGGCAGTGAGTAGGGCTTCCTCAGTGGAGGCTATTAGAGACGCTTGGTCGTATGGGAGGATTTCGTGAGGTGCAGGGGAGGGGTGACCAGCTGCAACCCTAGACATCCACCTCCGACCACGTTGAGGCTTACGGAAGCTGTGATTGGTGTTACTGCTGTATTTGAGCGCAAGCTGATTATCTTTTTGTTCTCCGTACTTCACTGGTGATGCTAATTTCGAACTGCGTGTCTTCCAGAAAGAGTTGAAGGCTTTGCTTACCTATAAATTGGCTTTGGTATGCCGGGTNGTAATGTTCCTCATTTTCCATTCTCAGAAGTGTTAACCGTGTATATTTCTGTCGGAGGTTGACAGTGTGCTAAAGGAATTCAGACGAAACCTTGGTTAATACAACCGACTTGGCACTTTCGTCATTTGGGTCCGTGTGAACGAGCTGGTAATATACATTTCACATGGTGTATCGTTTAATTTTTTATCACCACGTTTACCCTTGGCATTCAGAATATAGCTTATCGGGTTGTTGCTATGATAAACAAGACCTTCCGACCCGTAATATTCAGACAACTTGGTCGTCATTCACCAAAGGTCATTGCCAGATAGTTTTCCTGTAAGCAAAATGCAGATTCTGAAGCCCCGTCAACCTCATTCTGGCAGCCTTCAAAGTAAGGACTCATGCAGGTGAGTCGACAAACGTCTTACGCGTGCAATGAAGTCTTGAAAAATTGGTGTCTGTTGTTTATGGAAGACACGAATTCGAGGTCCTAGTATCAAGAGCCACCTGAGTGCTCCGGGTCTGTCCTTGATTTATTTCCTTTGCACATCCGGAGACGCCAGCTCACTGGGTAAGCGTGGTTTAGGGATCGCACAAAACGATAAAGCTGAAGTCTCTGATAGATTGGATACCCGCCAATAGTCATTGGTGCTCAGTGAGGCTGCAGGGTCCAGTTAATGTTCGGAAGGGCAGCAAAACCAAAAGGTTTTGGTCCATTATTCCTGCATATGCGCCAACCAACTGCAGTCCCACTTCACAAAAGGACGAATTTTAAGACAAACTCGCGGAACTCATCTGGCTTAGCCGCAGCTCTGATATCATAGTGCTGGCAGGTGGCTTCAACACAGGTTGGATAACTGAACGCACCCGAAGCTTGTCTAGGAGGGCACTTCGATCTCCCCGCCCAGCGAACGGATAACGGTGATCGATTATTTCAGTTCTGCGCGGATCATCGATAGTTCCTATTTAGCACCAACTTTCGAAACAGTTCTCATCAAACGGCTACATGGTGTTCTAGTTCAACGGGAACATTGACCCAAATTGATCACATAGCTATAAGCTACCCTTGGCGTGGTTCAGTTCAAAATTGCAGGTCCTATTGGACTACTTGCAATGAGTCAGGTCATGCACTAGTTCTGCTACGCTTCACTCATCGGTCATCGACAGATATCACCTCAGCTCATCATCTGCGCGATCCATCTGTCTGCGCACGTTATAAGGAGAAGCTGGGACACGAGCTAGGAGAAACGCGACATAGTGGAGTAGACCAACAGTGGAATCAGATTAGATTTGCGATGCACTCAACAACCAACTTTGCTTGTGGTACAGAACCCGAAGTTTGCCGAAGTCACTGGATCTCTCAGGAGTCAGTAATCCTGATGGATCAAAAGCAAAAGATTCCAATTTGCCAGGATCAGCATAGGGATCGGTGGCGCCTGCAACGTCAACTCAAGAAAAACCTTGGGAAAGATCGCGAAAATTGGTGGGCCTAAATGGCTAGGGAGATGGAGGTTGCTTCGGCATCAGGGAATAGTCAAAGACTTTCACCTGATACGCAGCACCGGAGGTCGTCAGTGAGACCATGAACGTGGACAGATTATCCACAATAAAGAAGAACGACTTGATCGCTGGGCACAGTATTTTAGTGAACAGTTGAATTGACCCAGTGCTAATGCGGTCATTCATGATAGTCACCGATGGTTAGAGACACAGTGATATGGCTGGGTGTCGCAAACAGTGGCGCTCGTGCATCCACTCGTTATTTTCCTAGCACTCTATGTATTCCCCATCTCACTCTATATGTATTCCCCATCTTCCGCTTGAATTTGCTTCGACATTCCAATCTTCATTTCGCTATTTTATCCAAATGGGCAACCAAAGCCGGCGTACGAAAGTGCATGGTTAATGGTTGTAAAACTGAACTGCACTGAATGCGGTCATTCCAGCAATTGCGGCGGAAACCCCATGGGTGGTAACATGTGATCCTCCAACAGATTTAGAAGTACGAAGCTGTATTCAATCATTAAAGAAAGGAAAGGCAGCCGGACCTGATGGGGTTCTACCTATTCCTTTTAAGGTGGACAGTAATTCTCTTGTCGACCCGATTACTAGCTTCGCAGAATTTGGTCAAAGGAACGTATCCCTTCTTCCTGGGATGAATAATTGACGTCCTTATCTTCAATAAGGGATCAGTCAATGACTGCGCAAACCACCGCGGGATCAGTATAGTTCCAGTAATCACAAGTGTTGACTTCTGTGATATTTCGCCGCCTGACACTCTTAAGAGAGATGAATATCCGCGAACAACAGGCTGGACTCTGACCAGGTCACGATTGCATCGACCAAATCTTCACTCTGCGTCAAGTCCTCAAACTGCGTCACACACATCGTCGGCCAACGATCGCAGTGTTCCTTGACCTAAACGGAGCCTTCGATTCAGTTGACCGTGAAGCTCTNGTTCGCTGCTTCGCAAAGAACTGCTGCGGGAGTATGTAAGCCTATTGCGGTCGCTGTACCTGCATACTTCTGGTAGCGTAAGGGTTTACGGTGGGCTGAGTAAATCATTCGAAACCAGGAGCGGTGTTCGCCGAGGATGCCCTATTTCACCATTCCTGTTCAATTTCGTCGTAGACGAAATACTGGAGAACGCACTCAGTGGTCTCCAAAACGTATTGAATGGGCAGCTGGAGGAAAGCTGTGCGATTTAGAGTATGCTGACGGCGTCGTTTGTCTGTTCGAATGTAGGGAGGATGTGCAAAGCGCCCTTGACAGACTAGCAAATTGTGTAACTCTTTTCGGCATGCGCTTTGCACATTCAAAGTGCAAAGTGATGCTACGGAACTGGGTTTCGCCTACTCCCGCTCTGAAACTAAATGGCCAGGAATTAGTTACGGTGGATTACTTTTCCTACTTAGGTAGTTGCGTGACCAACGACGGTAACGCAGCAAAAGAGATAACCACCTGCATTTCCAAGGCTCGAGCAGCATACGCAGGACTGGCGTAGACGTAACGTTAGACTGAAGTTAAAAGGTTGTGTGTCTTGTGCTAGCGTTCGTCCAGTCCTACTTTATGGATGTACTACCTTGAATTTGCGAGTAGATCATATCCATCTAGAAGTTTTCGATTATCGGTTTTTACCTAGTTTAGTCCACGTGGGATGGAACGAACAGGTTAGTAATCCGGGGGTAAGCCGTCGTGTATTTGGGAGTCTATTAAGGATAAACCTCCTAGCACATAGAGTTCAGATTAGTAGACTTCACTGGTTAAGGCACGTATTGTGTATGCC